GTTAGACTCTTTATAAAGAGATGCATGCCTAAGGAAATGGGGTTTTAAGCGATTATCATGGTCCTCCCATTTCCTGTGAAAATTGGGTTTTAAGCGATTATCATAGTACTCCATGAAAAAAAGTTATAGCAATTTGAAGTATTCTAGTTACCTCTCCTTCCCAAAGTCGCTCTAGCCTCCTCCGATACTCTACCAACTTCTGTTGGGCAAGGTTGTCGCATGTTGAGGCTCCAACCAACCTTATTAATAAGATGATATGATCCTGATTAGCTCCACAAACAATCTAGAATAGTGTCAACAAGGAGCTATATCGTCAAGCCAAAAGGACCCTAAAAATTGGCTAAGTGTTCTCCCTGTTTCGGGTTACCTAGTTGGCAAGCTTGGTCGTTCGAAATGGGTCGATAGAAATCAAAAGGGAGGGTCCAGAATGAAATTTAAAGTGTTGTTCTATGATTCCCAAGGCTTGGAAGGGCCATAACAAGAGTTCAAGGTCGTTTTTCAGGTCTCTCTACTTGTTATGGCAGAACCGAGAAACTGGCCAGAATGGGCTAAGTCTGGAAGACAGTGCGAGAAGGCTACTTTGAAGAGCCACTCGAGATGGAAGGAGGAGAATCAAGCTAGGAGGTTTGTGCCACACGAAAGTGGATGTTTCCTTCTCCAGCCTGAAGGAATTGGTTGAGCACATACACACCGGGAAAGCCTCGATCGAGCGAGCAGAAGATCGAAGGAAGCCTCGTTTTAGAGGATTGCTGCTCAGCAAATCCGATTCCTTTTCGGATTAGAATTACGTGTTCTTTTTGGCTTTGACTTCCATGTTTTTTTTTAGATTAAGTAGGTTTTCCCTTTTGAATTGTACGCATAGATAGGTCTATTTAAACTCGTTTTCAAGGCATTGTAAGACAGATTTTAGAGAGTCAGAATTCCAGTTTTGAGTTTCGTTCATTAAGCTTTTGTGCTTGTGAATTGGTTGAATTGCTTGGAGTAATCCGAGGGTTCAAGAGCTTGTATCGATAGATTGATTCCCCATCGATCCTGGCCAGCATCGACGTATACTCTTTAAGCCCACTTCCGCGTGTAAGACTACACGAGAGTTCCGTTCCCACGCAAACAACCTCCGCCCCTATTTCCCTGTTTGTGTTCGTTCAATTCTCAAAATTGAACAAGTTGCGCGAGTTCAATCACGATCCTAGTTCCTAGGGTCGTATTAAGTGGTAATCAGAGCCCGGTTCACACATAGTGGCCAAGACGAAGGACGACGTTGACAAATTTACGCGCTGGACGAGATCAAAGGGTCCGGTTGTCAGCGACCCTGCCGTTCTTCGCCAAAAGGAGCGTGAATCCACAGTTGAGAGTGAAGTTTTACCCATGTCAGGTCCGGCCTTTGACATGGAGGAATTCTTGACCCAAATTGATGCTCGACTTCAGGCTCAATTGGGGGCATTCAAGGGCGAGATTGATCAGAGGCTCGACGCGATTGTTCTGTCGGAAAATATCATCAGAGCAGGGGCAGTTCCCGACCAAGGAAATCCAGCTGAAAACCCTGAATTGATGGGTCGGATCGAGCAATTGGTACGAAGGCTAGTCATAGCAGAGCCTCGTCCCAATCGCCAGTAGCGAGAGCCACGTGAGCACCGCGAACCAGAGCCGGCAATTCCCCCTGGGATTAAAATAACAATTCTGGCATTTCAGGGCAAATCGAATGCATCAACTTACCTAGACTGGGAACGCAAGCTGATTCTTTTCTTCCAGTGTGGGCAGTATACAGAGCAACAGAAGGTAGCTCTGGCTACTTACGAATTCAGTGACTATGCTGCTCAGTGGTAGGAGCATATTCGTCTCCGATGACAGCGAAATTTGCAGCCTGAGATTACAATGTGGACCGAGTTGCGCGGACTGATGAGGGAGAGATTCATTCCTGCGTACTATCAGCGCGAACTACATGAATCTCTACAAGGAATTCGCCAAGGATCACGGGGTGTGGAGGAATATTTCCGAGAAATGGAATTGCTCCTAATGCGGGCTGACGTTCGTGAAGACAGAGAAGCGACGATTTCACGATTTCTCCATGGCCTGAATCGTGAAATACGCAACGAAGTTGATTTGCGATCGTTTGTTGATCTAGAAGAAGCAGTGCACCTCGCCGTTAAAATTGAAAAACAGCAGAAGTCGACGACGAGTAGACGATACAATCAGGTGACCAAACTTGCAGCAGAGTCCACCGTCGACACTAATCCACCTCCACTGCGACCTGACACCAACAAATCAGCGACCAAAAATGTTTTCCCAGTTGCTACTGAACGATCCGGAGCCATTCAGTGTTTTAAATGTCATGGTCGAGGCCATAAGGCCAACCAATGTCCGAATTTGAAGACCCTGGTAATCAAGGAAGGGAATTATGTTTCCGACGACGAGAAAAACTCCTCTGATGGCAAAGAATTGGATGAAGAAATTGAAGTTGAAACCTCTCCCCCTCCAGGCAAACTCATGGGATGATAATTTATTTCATTCCCGCTGCACTGTCAATGGTGAATTACTATCGCTGGTCATAGACGGAGGAAGTTGCACCAATGTTGTGAGTGTTGATGTGGTCAAGAAGCTGGGACTAAATACCAGAAAGCATCCCGATCCCTATAACCTACACTGGCTGAATGAGTATGGCGCCATCCGGGTCAATAAACCAGTTCGGATCAAGTTTGCGGTGGGCAAATACGAAGACGAGCTTCAGTTTGATGTGGCGCCAATGCAAGCTGCCCATTTATTACTTGGTTGTCCTTGGCAGTTTAATCGAGGGGTGTGTCATTACGGCGGCACAAATTGTTATAGGTTTAAACAACTTGGTCAGAGTTTTCTGCTTAAGCCACTAACGCCGTCCGAAGTTCGGGAGGATAAGCATCAGCTTGAGGCAAGTCAGTTGCGGAAGAAAGGGGAAGCTAGCAGTACATGTGTAGAAGCTCCTGAGGAGTCGAGCTTGGCGACTCGGCGGTTTATGCTAACCGGGTACGCAAAGAAGAAGGCATGTCATCGTTAGCAGCTCTGTGAGGTTCTGCCAAAGCAGAGCATGAGAGAGAGCGAATCGGGGAAAGTTCTCGAGCACGAGTCGAGCCAATCCAGCGAGTCCCACACCATCAAGGGAGTCCCAGAAATGTTTTCCCTTGCTCAGCTTGATCTAAATCCAACGCCATGGGTGAATCCCATTCGAGCAAAAACTGCTTTGAAGTTGACCACTAAAGAAGAAAAATCGGGTGAATGGGTTAGCGCCCTCGGAGATGTTTTGATTCAGTCGACTACTGCGAAATCATTAAGTGGTGTTCCAGGATGCTCTCAGATCAATCCAATTAACCTGGAGATGTCTGGATCAAAAACTCCCAAATTTGGATTGGGAATTCTAGGTTCTGCAAATTTGAAACCCGAAAGTGGCGCGAAGGGACGAATCGCCAAATCAACGACGACGATGATGCATCGAGGAGTGTTGTCGGCTCAGGAAGATAATTGGGACCTTGGGAATGGCTCCATCAAAAAATCCCCAATTCTGTTACTCAATAACACTACCCTGATTTTGCAGAAATTGGAGCTTGAGCAGCCGAGTTTCGACCCCATTTGGCAAGGGTTCTGTGACGACTTTTGAGAAGCGGAAGGAGCCAGCTTTGAGGACAAAGATTTTTGAAGAGGGAGGGCTTTGTATGATCCTGATTAGCTCCACAAACAATCTAGAATGGTGTCGAAAAGGAGCTATATTGTCAAGCCAAAAGGACCCTGAAAATTGGATAAGTGTTCTCCCTGTTTTGGGTTACCTAGTTGGCAAGCTTGGTCGTTCGAAATGGGTCGATAGAAATCAAAAGGGAGGGTCCATAATGAAATTTAAAGTGTTGTTCTATGATTCCCAAGGCTTGGAAGGGCCATCACAAGATTTCAAGGTCGTTTTTCAGGTCTCTCTACTTGTTATGGCAGAACCGAGAAACTGGCCAGAATTGGCTAAGTCTGGAAGACAGTGCGAGAAGGCTACTTTGAAGAGCCACTCGAGATGGAAGGAGGAGAATCAAGCTGGGAGGTTTGTGCCACACGAAAGTGGACGTTTCCTTCTCCGGCCTGAAGGAATTGGTTGAGCACATACACACCGAGAAATTCTCGATCGAGCGAGCAGAAGATCTAAGGAAGCCTCGGTTTGGAGGACTGCTGCTCAGCAAATCCGATTCCGTTTCTGATTAGAATTACGTGTTCTTTTCGGTTTTGACTTCCATGCTTTCGTGTTTTAGATTAAGTAGGTTTTCCTTTTTGAATTGTACGCATAGATAGGTCTATTTAAACTTGTTTTCAAGGCATTGTAAGACAAATTTTAGAGAGTCAGAATTCCAGTTTTGAGTTTCGTTCATTAAGCTTTTGTGTTTGTGAATTGGTTGAATTGCTTGGAGTAGTTCGAGGGTTCAAGAGCTTGTATCGATCGATTGATTCCCCATCGATCGTGGCCAGCATCGACGTATACTCTTCAAGCCCACTTCCGCGTGTAAGAGTACACGAGAGTTCCGTTCTCACGCAAACAACCTCCGCCCTTATTTCCCTGTTTGCGTTCGTTCAATTCTCAAAATTGAACAAGTTGCGCGAGTTCAATCACGATCCTAGCTCCTAGGGTCGTATTATAAGACAATAGTGAAACTACAATAAGCTAAAACATAAGGGAAATTGTGTTATGAAAATCATGATGGGGTATGCGAGGTTTACCTACAACCATAAGCTTCGACTCTTAGGGGATGATCGGGACCCCAATTCCTGTCGGGACATTTGAGTGGTGCAATCCATGGTAGATGCTCCCAAGCCCTTGTACGATGAACATTGCGCCGCCGACCTCCCTCACAGCTTTGAGAGATGCATTGCACAAATGGTGGTAGATATTAGCTAGGCAAGCGGATGCCCAGCTCAACTACCCCATCTCATCCCAACTAACAAGGAGGATCCTAAGCCATCCACAGCTAATTAAATTGCTCGATTTTTTTGGAGAAGAACACTCATTCGATCATGCCAATGAGATAGACACGAGCATATCTTTCCTTTTCTACCTCCGGACTTTCCTCGGTTAGGGGCACCCCATATTTGGCAGGATCGTGATGGTCCCTAAAATACTTCGTCAACCAAGTGATTGATACTTGGTGTTTCCTCAATGGTGGCAAGTAATCCGTCGCATCAACGCTCCCCTTGATTGGTACTTTCACCCCCAAAACACTGTGGATGAAATGCTGCCAACCGGTCATACCGTCACGATCCTTGGGGGGATGATCACTCACACACACCGCTTTGCCGTCGATGGGCAGATGAGTTAGGATGGCGACGTCCTTTAGCGTGATGGTGCACTCTCCTTCGCGAAAGTTGAAACAATGTGTCTCCTTTCTCCATCTCTCCACCAATGCGGTGATGAGTTGGCGATCGACTTTTATGCCTACCAAATGCCTCATCGACTCCAACCGTGACCTTTTGAGAATGGGCAAGATAACTGGGTTCCATGGGAGCACATTGGTCGTACTCCTGTAGCGGAGTATTTGTTGTGCCTCCTAGCCAAAATTTTCACGTTATTTATAATATATTAGTAACACTTTTTCTTATAACTAAATTAATTAAAATTAACGATTTAATTTCGACCATAATTTTATTATAATTATATTATTAACAATAAAATTTAAATAATTGATAGTTTTTTCCGAGATATATACATATTATCATAAAAAACATACTCAATTAATTGACATAAATAACATTCTAAATGAATAATAATTTAAAGAGATACATACATATTCAAACATTTGAAATTAATAAAATTCATTTTGTACACATAAACATAAATCGTATTGGTGGTTTGGTAAATAAATTAATCGTATTGGTGTGTTAAATAATTTAATCGAATACAATGCAACACTCGTTAGACTCTTAGAAGAGGTATACATCTTCTTAGAAACGCAGCCTTTTGATAGAAAAAGGGGGGATCCGAGGATCTCTTAATACCCGATTTTCCCAGGGAATGGGAGGATCATGATAATTGCTTAAAACCTCATTTCCTTAGATGTGCATCTCTTTATAAAGAGTCGAAGTAAGTGGCGCTATGTATTCGATTAAATTATTGAAAACAACCAATACGATTAAAAATGATCAAATTTATTTTATATTCCGCTAAGTACGTTAGCAAAAGAAAAGAAAAACAAATGATGAAGAATTGTATGTACCTCATGATCGTTCCAAACATCCCTCCACGTCGTCCCCAACCTACGAGAGAATAACAACAAAAATTGACCAGAATAATGAGTAGGTACCGCTTGAAATTCATCATAATAAACTCCCTCTCCTTGGAACCACTCGACCATTTCTTCGCGAAAGTCGGACAGAAATTCGGCGGGTTTTGAGGGAAAAACCAAAGAAATGTTTTCCGATGGCAGATCGGACTTAGCCGCAACCAACATACCACTATTTCCTAGACTTTTGGGAGGGGAGGGGATAGAGAGATAATTTTAGAGAGATAGTGAAGAATGGGTTGTGGTGTGAAGAAATGAGGTGGGGGTATTTATATTATTCAGACCGCACCCTCCAGGGGCGGTCTTGTAATTTTGCACTCATTGAAACCGCATCGGGATGGTGCGGTTTCCGTTTCACGAGGCGCGAAATGCAGGCGTAGCGAGCAGTCTTCAATCCTTGGCACGGATCGCTGACATGGCGTGCGGTCCGCCGTTGGATCCCCGCCTCATCCAACGGTCTGCAAGGCCGCTCCCGAGGAAACATAAAAAAAAAGGGTTCTATTTTTGTAAATTTTATGGACTGGGTGCTATTTTTGTAAATTTTTTTTAAATGTGCTATTATTGGAAAAATCCCCGAAAATGATACATAAACCTTGAAATGACAGAATTTTGGCATCTAGTACTATTACCAAATCCTTAAAGATTAAAATCTACGTTTTAATTCTTTAAATATCATACACTCAGATCTATTTAATAAGAAACAACAATCGACGGTCATGATTCGTCGAAATATATGCCAAAAATTACTCTATAATTTAGATAACTAAGACCTAGGGTTCACCATTAAGGGTTAGGGTATAGTTTCATGCCAAAAAATCCAATTAATTCAAGGTCTAAAAAGCATTTTCTTACTCAGGGTATATCATACTCTAGATTTTATCCAAGGTACGATAGAAGCCACTAGACCATTCTATTGTACACCAGCCAAATCTGGTGGTATGTCGTACACCACCCATCTCTGTCTTGCGATCCATCTCAACGGCCGAGATAATTAGCGGGCTCTGTTTTTGTGGGATAATAAATACAATTAGAGTGCCAGTCCCCCACAACCCAAAAATGTTACATTCTAATCCACTTCCGTCGGATGGTTGGCCAGGACGTACGAACCTAAGTCATGTTTTGGCCAGACGACCCAACCCTCATCTGCAAAACCCTCATCTGCAAACCACCCAACCCTTTTCTCACCCTCTCGTAACGTCATCCCTTCCTCCATCTCGCGTTCTCTCTCTCTCTCTGTTTCTATCTCCCATCTCTCGACGTCTCCTCCATTCCGAAAACGATTCCACTTCAATCTAGTCCAACTACTGTCCAGAACTTTGTAATCACAACCCCCATTCTCCGTTGAATTCGATTTGAGCAATTGCGATGCACAAAGTCTTCTTATTTCGTCCCTCCATTCACTCAATCATTCGCCATCTCCGACCATATCACTTGGCCCATTCGAGAGGGCATGGTACACCAGCCGCATCTCTCTATTACACGATTGCACAAAGCAGACCACAAGTTTAGAAACGCACGCCATAAGTTCGTTAAAGCACACCACATGACCAATAACGTACACCACAAGTTTATTATTGTATGCCACAAGTAACGTAGAGCAAACCACATGTTTATAAAAGCACGCCACAAGTATATTGTATTGCCCCTTTATCTATTTAGTTTTTCGTTCTTGTTGCAGGTAGGTGTATTCCGTTGCAGGATCGTTTCGGCCGGAGGAAGAAGATGAAGAAGAGGGAATTTCAATCGAATTGTGGGTGGATAGTCTGTTGTCTTGTCCTTTAATTTATTTAGTATTCACATGAAGCTTCTTATTGATGGTCTATTTATGGCTTGCTGATCAGAGATATTTGGGGTTTGTTTCTGCCTAAGGAAGAACACGACGAAGACAGAATTTCATTTGAACTGTGGATAGTCATCATAAATCGTGTTTGTGAATCAACAAAACGATTGGGCTTAGAGTAATGCAATAATTTGGGATTCAATTTGTGATTCTTTATGGGCTGGATGGGCCAAGCAATAGGTGCAAGTAATATTTGTTATTAAAATGATTCTGGATCATTTCACCTGGTGTTGGAAACTTAATAGACGTTTATTAGCTTTTGTTGTTGTAAACATATTAATTAGTGATAAATTCCGATTATTTTGTAATTAAATGAGATGTCGGAAGATTGACAATGCTTGGATTGTTTTTAATTGGTGATGAATTCGTTTAAATTTATCTACTTGTACAAGGGGGGACCTTTTAATTACACGCTACGTGAAGCTAGTTACCGATGTGAATCCTTGGAAAGGTATACAAGGGGGGTTGATAGCATCGTATTTGCACGTGTTTTCTCTCTGGTTTCCTGTCCATTTTGGCTCGAATTGATTGTTCCTTGGCCTATTTTACGCTAGGTTGTGTTGTTTTGTCGTACTTCAGGTCCTAGCAAGTAAAGAGGTGCATAGGCGCAAGTTTCGGGTCATTTGGAGGTCAGATGGCGATTCACAGGAGGAATTACGGGCAGCCCCTGCCAAATTACGACCGTAATTGGTCAGGGCATGCCCGTAAAACAATTGCCGAGCCTTTTCCCCAAGATTTCTTCTCGGCACTAAAATTACGGGCAAGCCTCCAGAGAATTACGACCGTAATTCCTAAAATACTGGCGGTAATTGTGGAATTACGGGCGTAGATCCTCCTCCTTCAGTTTAATTGAAACGTGCGTTTTGGGGCGAATTACGGGCAGGCAGTGATTACGGCCGTAATTCAGCCCGTAATTCGCCCAGAGTCGGGTTTTTGGAGGCAGATTCGAGCTAAGGAAGAGGTATTCGAGTTTCTAGAGGAAAAACAGAGTTTTAGAGAGAGAAAGAGCGAAGAACAAACCCTAGGAGCTATTTTGGAGTGGATTTCTCACCATTGAAGCCCAGATTGCGTCCCCAGGAGTGAAGATTGACATCCCAGAGCAGAATTTCCTCATCTTTATGAGTATGACTACTCTGATTTCTGTTTTCCTTTCTCTCTCTATGGAGTAGAACCCTTCTCTCACTTGGGTATGAAGAACCCTAGTTCCTTGTGTTAGGGATTTGATTGTAATGACTTGGGATGATTATACTGTTTGATTTTAATCGAATGATGCATGTTTATTGAATTGATTGAAGTCTGATCAGCTTTTCTTGATTTCTGCTGCAACCTAAGATAGATAGAATCTGATTAGGTTGTTAGAGCCTCTTCATTCGATAGTAGGAGATTGGCTATACGAGAGTTAGCCAGTTTACTGCTTTGTACTGGAATTCAATTCCAGTAGTGGAGTTCTGTGCTTATTGCTTCAGCTTTCTATCCCGGTGAAGACTAGTCGTCTGCCGGGTAGTTAGACTGAGAGGGCTTGGTCAGCTTAAGAGATTCCAAGCTATTGTCGGATCTTCCGCAGTCTAATCAACAGTGAATCAACCCAGGGGAATTACAATTGAACCTAACTAAGGGGCTAGGGGGACTCATTCCCGAGTGACTCTTTCCTGCTTTTGAAAACCGAACCATTTCCTGCTTTCTTACTGCTTTTGCTTTAAACAACAATCACTCGAATTAGTTTGCTAGATAATAAATCATCACGGAGTAAGCAGTAGATCTAGACCCCGGGTTGATAATAGAACTTGCCTGTTACTGCATTCCCGGACTGCGATTACACTTGGTCGCAGTGTGGTGTTGTGTTTTGGCGTGTCAGGGGTCTTTTTAGTACACACAACTTTATGTTTGCGTTCCACATCATACAACCAAACAACCTCTACCTTATTTTTACTATTGACCACATCCTAGCCTTGTAAGGCAATGCCTCAAATGAAGGCGTTATGACTAATATAATTAAGTTTACGTAACTTAATGAAGTATTTCACGAATGGAATAGGATCCACATAATGAAATAGGAACTGGAATTTGCCATGTTACAATGAAATAAAGAAATGACACCCATTGTGGATGCTCATTGCTAAATAAGCAATCCCTTCTTGCTATTCATCACAAACCCTTAACATGAATCTATTTCACAAAATAGGTTGTCTCACATATGAATACTTAAATGGGGTAATTTTCATACAACTGTATGCGTCATTGTAGGAGAGGATTTGAAGTTACTTTCCTAGCGTATAATTTAACGTAACGGAAAAGGCCAACAAATATATTCACTTAGGCTTGGAAATTAATT